GTTCATTAGCAATCTCAAGGCTGCATCTGAGTTGACCATTCAACCATACCCATCACTGCTAAACAGTCCCATCCAAACTCCTTCTCCCTCCATAGCAGCTGTAGTGACAACTCAACTTTCTAGTTTCTTAGTTTCTCTCAACACTGGCTCCTAGTGCCCCCATGTGTTTTCCTCCTTATTGTTGAGACTACTTTTTCCTACTGAGTCTGAAAACCGCCTTTCCCCTCTTCTCTTGCTTTTGCTGCTGGACCTATTCCCAGGATACGATTTCCATATCCACACCTTGGCCTTGGCCTTGGCCTTGGCCTTGCCTCTCCAAAGGCTATTCACCCACTCTGGTTGGGTGTTCCACATGTACCTCAAGTCTAAGAAAAACTGAGCTCACCAGATTTCTCTCCAAAATTAGTCATCCTTTAAGATCCTTCCCTATATGAACAACAGCCCGATTTCCTCAGTTATATTTAACTGCGCTGGGGCCCTCCCTGACGCATCCTGTCATCTTTGCCCTCATCCATCACGATCAATTCATGCTGGTTTAGCATGAAAGAATTCTACAGTTCATGTCTCTTCTAGACTCCTCGCCCTGCTGCAAGCTAGCATCCTTTGTCTCCAAAATGACTGCAGACTGAACTGACTTTCCTGTTTCCACTCTTGACCTCAGAAAGCTATCCACCACACTCCCAATACTCCCTTTTCTCTAAGTACTCTATTTATCCATCAACTCTGACTTCCACACCACTCAGTGTCCTGGCTTGCTAGTCTAGCTTTTTCTTTGCTCATTGTTCTCCTAGTATTATATACCCTTACCTGAGAGTTCTGATAATTTGAATGAAATAATTACGGGTATAGCTATTTAACACATTTATTTGACGCTCCCTGGATCACAAGCTTTGGATTTAACCACATTTCTCTTTGTTAGTTGGTTAATCCTAATGTCAATAATCGTCCCCTCATCACATGAATTAAGATATGTTTGTGGAGAGGGAAAGGGGTTAGGAAGAAACAATAAGAATTTTGCCTCATTTTAAAAGCTTTTACATACTTAAAAACTTTAAAAGGCAAGTGAAAATCTGTAGGATGAGGGGGCCACTTGTTCTTCCCGCACACCCGGATAGCTTAGCCCCAAAATAACAACACAGAAACTGTATTAATTAAATCACTGCTTGGCCCATTAGCTCTAGCTTCTTATTGGCTAACTCTTACATCTTAATTTAACCCATTTCTAGTAATCTGTGTATTGCCATGTGGCAGTGGCTTACTGGGTAAAATTTCCAGCATCTGTCTCTGGAGGTTCCATGGCATTCCTCTGACTCTGCCTTCTTCCTCCCAGCAATCCGTCTAACTTTCCCTGCCTACCTAACTTCTGCCCTATCAACAGGCCCAAAGCAGTTTCTTTATTAACCAATGAAAGCAACACAAAGACAGAAGGACCTTCTACACCAAAAATCCTGCAAAAAAAAAAAGACTAACAATCACCAAAAAAAAAAAACCCCATATTTGAAAGCTATGCAAAAATAAATGTGTCTTTCCAAAGGGTTAGTACTGGCAATGCCATAAGGTAAAGATGAGCCAAAATGAAGACACATACAGAAAACTGAGCACAGAGTGTAGAGAGCATGGTCCTAAAAGAATCAATGCAAATGACTAATTAAAAGTGGAAAAAGTTCTGCTTTCCAGTATTCTAAAAATGGCACATATACTTAATTTTTTAAATAGTCAGTGTGGGAAGAAATCAGGCCTAGGCATATTCTTCTGTTAGGAGCCCAGACTCACACAGACTTTCTGGGAGGCAATCTGGTAATATGTGTCAAAATCTCTAAAAATAGGATCTATTTAGGCCTAGTAAATTAATTGCCACAAATTTTCTTGAGGACACAAGCAAAGTTGCATGCAGACTCTTATGTATAAGAATACCCGGCATGAAAACTGAAATTGTGAAATTTGCCAGAACATGGATGGAACTGGAAAATAATATATTAAGTCAGGTGACCCAGGCTCAGAGTTTCAAATATTGTATGTTGTCTCTTGTATATAGAGCTGAGCTTCTAATTTTTATGTGTGCATTTTTGTGGGAGTGAGTTTTGGTCGAGGAAATGATGCTCCAAAGGGGCCCATGAGAGCGGAAATGTGGGTTTTAAGTAAGGAACTCAGGGACGTGAATGGGGGAACCAGAAGCATAAAAAGACGCAGGCAAATGCAGAAAAATGGGGAAAGATGGTTCAGCATCAAAGAACATATGACCATCTTGTAAGAAAACCTGTACTTTGTGTGGTAATTAAAAAAGCATGTTTAACTCCATGATATCCATAACAATGAAATTTTCCAATCAGCTTTATACTCAATAAAAAGAGATAGTTGTTATGACGATAATGCAGTCACATGCTTCCAAGGGGCCATTAAAATGTTTGATGTCAAAAAGAACATTAGAATTTTAGGCATTTTTAACATCTATGCTCTTCTAGTTATGAAAGAAAGTAAAATACAGCATACATAGTATAGATTAATTTTGACTAAAAGTAAATTCAAATTTTATGTTTAAAAACTGTGTATGCAGCTATATTCCCACACATTACCGGAAAGCTATCTTTGGATTTGGGTGTGAGTGATTTTGTTCATCCTCTTTTAAGATTTTTGTTTGTTTTATTAAATTTTCTCATTTTTATTTCTATTTTTCCTTTGCACCCTTTTATTGAAAATTGATTCTTTTTTCTTTTTTTCCTTATTTATTTATTTATTTAAAGAATTTCCACTTCCTCCCCTCCTCCCAATACCCTCCTGCTCCCGCTCCCCCCACTCCCTCTCCTCCTCCCTCCCCATTCCCAAGAGCAGTCAGGGTTTCCTGCCCTGTGGGAAATCCAAGTTCCTTCCCCCTCCCTCCAGGTTCAGAAAGGTGAGCATCCAAACAGGCCAGGATCCCGAAAAGCCAGTCCATGCAAAGGAATCAAGACCCAGTGCCATTGTCAATGGCTTCTCAGTCAGCCCCCATTTCAGTCACATTCAGAGAATCCGGTTTGATCACATGCTCGTTCAGTCCCAGTCCAGCTGGCCTTGGTGAGCTCTCATTAGATCAGTCCCCTTGTATCAGTGGGTGAATGCACCCCTCGCGGTCTTGACTTCCTTTTTCATGTTCTCCTTCCTTCTGCTCTTCATTTGGACCTTGGGGGCTCAGTCCAGTGCTCCAATGGGGGTCTCCGTCTCTATCTCCATCCATCGTCGGATGAAGGTTCCCTCTGGTTCTGCTTCCCTTGCTCACGATCTCCCTTCCTCTGCTTCTCATTTGGACCTAGGGAGTTAAGTCCAGTGTTCCAATGTGTGTCTCTGTCTCTATCTCCATCCATCGCCAGATGAAGGTTCTGTGGTGACATGCAAAATATTCGTCAGTATGGTTATGGACCCAGGCCAGTTCAGGTACCCTCTCCTCTGCTGCCCAGGGAACAATCTGGGGACCTCTCCTTGGGTCTGGGAACCCCTCCAGAATCAAGTCTCTTGCAAACCCTAAAATGGCTCCCTTAGTTGAGATATAAACTTCCCTGCTCCCCTAGCCATCCTTCCTCCCTCCCCACTCCCATTCCCCCAAGCCATCCTCAATCCTCCCCATCTCATATATTATATCTCGATTGCACTGTTTCCCTTCCTTCTACACCTCCCAGCTCCTCCAATCAGATCCACTTCCTTTCCCCCTTCATTAGGAAAGGACAAGCTTCTACGAGATAGCAAAATAACAAAAAAGGTAAAATATAGTGATACTTTACAAATATTTTCAAAATTGTACAAGACAAACCAAAAGAAGGAAGGAAGCCTGAGAGGCACAAGAGTCAGAGACCCACTCATTCGCACACTCAGGAGTCCCATAAAAATACTAAACAGAAGCTATAATATATCTTAAGAGAATGTGGTGCAGACCAGAAGATCTTTTTGTATATTCTCAATATCAACCAATTATATGCATCATGACCATAATGAGAAAAACTTAAATAAATTTTAATTTGACAATGGGGAACTGATTGCAGCATATGGCTGAGGCTCTATCCAGAGAAGCATGACACGATGATTAAGAATATATGCGCTGAAGTTCTGAGACAGGTGTTCCGTTCCCTCTTTACAACTTAAGAGCGTATGACCTTGACCAAGTTACTTAATTCTCAAAACTTCACTTCCTTTATCAGCATGGAGATAATACACACTCGGCAGATTTGTTTTGTAGCTTAAGTGAAATAATCCATGTAATGTTTGGATCAAAGAGTAAGCACTTAGTAAGAGTAAACTGCTTTTATTATGCTAAAGTATAAATAGATCTGGTAATGATTTACATGAATTCTTCATTCTCTAAAGGCTTATAAGTGGAAGTTTGGGGAATCGTTTTCTTTCTGGCTCAGCATCCTCCAGACTGTTGTGCGAGGATGCTGGAACCAACCAGAAGATGCTGAAGGAAAGACTTGCCTATTATAGAAACAATCTCAAGAAAAGTGTGCTCATTAGGGTGAAATACTGGCATAAGCCATGCATCAACCTCTTCATCCAACCAACAAGTGGATATTAAACATCTACCCAGCAAGGGATTAAGTTGGAGAAAACTTGGCAGGGCCCAGGACTGAGTTGTTAAAATGATGGCAAACCCATTTTTTATGCATCAAATCCCAACCTAAAGTAAGCTGAAGCCGACCTACTTATGTTCCTTATGCCCAATCAGGTCCACTTCACCATTAGGCTTGCTCAGTAGGTGAATGAGAAGCTGTCAATCAAATCCATCCCATTGTTTGATTTTGAATATGAAGTTTTATTGAGATATACCCATATTTATTCATTTACAGATTTTCTATGGCCATTTTTGTGCTACAGTGGCAAAGTCAAGAGATTGAAGCAGATGTGGTGTCAGTCATCAGTCATGATATTTAATGCCTAGTCCTTTAGAGAAACTTTGCTAGACTGTGATCTTGGTTACTAGAACTGGAGAGATGATGTGGGAAGTGACATCAGGCTTACAACATTTCCTTCTGCAGTTCCAGGAGCTGTTCCTCTTGAGTCCATCCAGGGAGGGCCCTTTGAGGAGAAGATCTACATCCAGTGGAAACCTCCCAATGAAACCAACGGGGTCATCACACTCTATGAGGTAAGGAAGCTCCTGAGCCACTTCAGTTAGTTCAGCTTCATTCAGTGAGTTACTTCAAGGGCATCGAGGTGAGTGAGACACAACTTGGGCATATTGTTGGGCTGTTTTGATTATCCCAAAGACAAATACATGTGGATATGCCTTGCATTGATATTATCGTGGTTAGGAGTGATCACTTCTACAAATGGGTCAATAGTTTAAGGTATCAGGTTGTCCTGATGTAAAAGAGAAGATCAAGACCTGGAATACAGAAGCTAAAGTTTATATGGAAATCATAGTGCTCATGGCAAATCACCCTACAGATGTGTATATATATATATATCAGTTTGTGGGTTTTAGAATGACTCCTATAATTATTTTCTGTTCCAGGGGTAAAAGATTCCTGAGTTTTAACCTGCTCTATACCCAACCATAAAATATTATTAGCCAACTGGTAGTTCATAATCCTCCCACCCATCAACAAGGCCTTTTCTTATCAACTATGGAATAGATCATATTCAGCAAGAGCACACCCACCAAGCAGACACCTGAAGATGATAAACTAAGCCATCTAGAAGTCTGTTGCAGAACAAAAACAAAACTCTCTCCACAAAGGCTGATAATCTAAGTCAAGAACCAGCATGTGGGTAAAATTGACTTACCTTTCATTTATGTATTTTAAGACAGCATGACCTTCTAATACTGGATAAAGTAGAAAACAGAGTGATAAAGATGAGGGGCCTGGATGCTGAAGTTAAAAATGGTATACGCTGTGTCCTAAAAGCTTGTCCATAGTCTCAGGTGTCCTTGGTAAACTCCTCCTCTCTTCAGACCTGATCCCTCATCTGTAAGACTGAAGTGCCAATCACTCCTTCAGACTTTAACACATCACTCGCGGACTGAGATGCGAAACCTAATCTGCTCAGGGACTCATACCACTAAACAACCATGCAGAAACAGGCACCTGCGAAGAGTGGGTTTGGGAAGGGAACTAGGCATAGTGTAAAGCATTTTTGAGTCAAGGATCAGGATTGATCTAATGAACCCATAAACTTTCTAGAGACATGGATGGTCCTCGGATATCTATGAAGCAAGACATTATCAGCATGTACAAAAGAAAATACCTCGTCTCACTGGACACCTGGTTTCAAAAGATCTATATAATGTCCTCATTTTAGAAAGTTAGTTCGGGGAGCTTGGTACAGCTCTCAGGGTTAACACTTGGAAGGAGAAATACAAGCACCCTAATGTCTATGATCCTTCTTGGGCCACAGAGAAAAATCTTTCCTTCTGTGTTATTAGAGAAACATTCATATTGGCACAGGTATGGGAACAGTCAAAATATTATCTGAAACAAAAATCCTAGCAATTCACAGTAATTCACAGTTGTGTGTTTTTCATTGTAGAGACCACAATCAGAGAGAAATAGAGGGAGGGAAGGAGAGAGACAGAGACAGACAAACAGCCATGGAAGTTTATTGTTCATAGCAGCCTGTTTTTCATACAGCAGGGTAAAGATCCATGATTTAGGGAGTGATGGTCCTATCACATGAGATTCCTCCATTGTAGCAGCATACGGATTCAGAGTTCATAGACCAGCAACACTGAAAAGACTTTAGAAACCAACATAAGCTAATTTACCATCTCTTATTAACATTTAATTTAAAAAGATATAATTCCAAAGCTACAAAAAGATATCATTTCAGAATAAAAGTCTCTGAAATTGAATGAATTTAGCTTTATGAATAGCTCATGATAATTGCCTTATTTTTCTCATTCAAAATGATGACAGTTTGGTTATGAAAGGCTCTGTTCCTTGCACTTACCTGCTCTTGAAAAGCCCTAGCTAGGTTCCACTGTTTTAAAAGTGTGCCTGAATCTCTGCATAGACTTCTTTCTCAAGAGCTCATCAGCTTTTATATCATAGGGCTGTGCATTGCTCTGGACTAGCAAGGTGATGCTTTGTCATTCTGTGATTAGACTAAAGAAACAGATGGACAGAGAAGTGACCAAAACAGAGTTGTGAGTGAGATAGGTGGAATTTGTAACATCTGTGTGCGATCCAGTCTCTGGAGCCATTAGACACAAGGTGAGAGTAAGATGGGCAATCTTGTCTGGCTTACTTGTTTATGAACCCAGTGCCACGTGGAGACTCGAAGACCTGAATTAATTTCCATAATGGACTCTTCTAAAGATGGCTCTGTGGTGATAGAGAACCAGGGCCAGTAGATTGCTACTAACTGACATTTCTGTGAGCCATTTGAGAACACTCCAAAACTCATGGGGGATTCTGTGTCTGTGCGTTTAGTTCATTGTATTCTGTGTGTAAGCATGACCGTGATGGTGTATGTCACAAGCTAACGAGGCCAAAGCATGGTAAGAATGCTAATGTGGAGGTCAGGCACTAGATCAGAATCCACGTTTGCCTCATTACCGGTGTGATGACTGTGACACATGAAATACTCCCTTAGGACTGCAGGCTTCTCGACTGGCACAAACCTAGCAAAATCATAATGTAATTTACTAGATGAGGTTGCTGCAAGGTTCATATTAAATACGTATTTAGCACAGTCTTGGAATTTAGAAGTAATGTGTTGTCTATTAACACTGCATAGAAATGAGGAAGTTGAGGGATAGAAGTGTGACGTGTCACGCGGTCATCAGCCAGGATGGCATATTCCTGTCTCCTGAATTCAGGTGAAGCCTCTGGTTAAACACAGGGTGGCTCATGGACCAGCACTGGGAACTTCAGAAATGCAACATACCAGGCCCCATCAGTACTTCCTGAGCCACAATTTCCAGTTTAACCAGACCCTGATAGATTCATATGGGTATTAACAACTGAGAAGAGCTTTCCTAAAAACATGGGATTTTAGAAAGTTCTTGCAATTGACAGAAGGGCATGCACGCCTGAGCAGAGAGAGGTGGGGCTTTCTCAACAATGAGCTGAAGCTAGCCTTGAGCAGAGAGAGGTAGGGTTCTCTCCACAATGAGCTGAAGCTAGCCATGAGCAGATGAAGTTGGGGTTCCCTCCACAATGAGCTCAAGCTAGCCTTGTCCCTGAGAACGAGCAGTAGACCTTGCTTTTAGAGCCATCTATCGCGAAATATGTGTTTATGAGGCAATTTTCAAATTTAATTAGATGAAACCAATTTGCTTTTTAAAATTAGGATCTAGCTGTAATTTCCAGAGAGGAATCCATAAATTACAAAGCACTCTCTTCTAGCCTCAAAAAACAACCCTAATATTTTGTTACAGAGAAAAAAAAAAGGCTGACACAAATGGAAGAGAAATTTGGATTTTCTGTGCCTTTCTATATACAACCCAACCTCAACTCCCCAAAGCTAAAGCGAAAGCACACACATGTGCATGCACACACACAAACCCACATACACACAAGAGAGAGAGAGAAAGAGAGAGACAGAGAGAGACTTGTTCTCCATTGCTGAAACCATGTATCTTAAGCAGAGTGGGTCTATGCTGTGTTCTGGCAAAATTTCTTCCCCTTTAAATCCACATCACACAGCAACCTCTAGAATTATCCTTAAACAATCTTGTACCCCCCCAAATCTGAGCGACTTTGATTAAGTACCATTCTGTCTTTGAACTCTGGTCTCCACTTTATCATCTGAATGTGACAAACTGTGTCGGGCTTCAGCTGTGTAAGAATGAGAGATGAACACATACCTGTCAAACATACAAAGCAAAGGTTATAAACCCTTGTGTGGTTGTTTTGCCTGGAACCTGAGGAGATTCTGGGAGAGTCAAACAGTGGTGGCAGGAAGAACCCAGCTAGACCCAGCTAGTGCCACAGCCCTGAGGTCAGAATGACTGGAACGTCTGACAGACAAGAGGCCAGAGTGGCCAAAGCTTTGAGCATGGAGAAGGCTGAGGGGACCCTGTTTGAGCAATGTCCGAGTAGAGTCTGTGGAGCCTAAAGTTTGCCGTTTATCATGAGGAGAATGGGAAGTTCTAGAAAGAATTTGACCAGAGGAATTTAAAGAATCAGGTCTGTGTGTATGTGTGTGTGTGTGTGTGTGTGTGTGTGTGTGTGTGTGTGTGTGTGTGAAAGAGAGAGAGCACAGAGGAGGATGTCAGGTGTCCTGTTCTGTCATTCTGCCATTTTCCTTATTACCTCTTTTGAGGCATACTTCTCTCGCTGGACTTGGAACTCATCTTGTTTTCCATTTATTCCTTTGTTTCCTGTTCTTTATTTTTGTTTTTTGGCTAGGCTGACGGACCAGCGGGCCCCAGACACTCTCTTCCTGGCTATGCTGGCATCACAGGCAGACGCAGTCATGCCTTCCTCTCTACATAGACACTAGGAATCTAACTCAGGTCCTCTGCTTGCTTAGCACATGCGCCTACCCACTGACCCATCTCTCCAGCTGTAAGATTTATGTTTTTAAAAGAACACTTCACTATTTTGTGAACAGTTGACTCTGGAATACACAAGAGTCTTGTGAGTGTGGAAAACACACCAGGAGGCAAGAATACTGCCATCTGCTATGAATCTGCGATGAGGGCTCACTTACTTATTGCACCTAGGTGGAAGATAGGAGGTTTTTTATGGCTACCTTGTTCTTATTGCTGACAGACCGCAACCATTTCAACCCAGTCAGGAGTTCTTAACTTGATGAGCTCTCAGAATCTGGGCAGGATAGCTTCTAGACTTTCTTCCCATAATAGATGTGAGTCTCACCTTGACTGTTCTGACCATTTCCCTTCTATGACCCAGCAATGGTCACCACGCCCCTCCTTCTCACAGAAGGAAGAGCTCAGAATTCTCTGCAAAGCCTGTAGGAGTGGGCTTTCATTCTGTAGTAGGAAGCTGTAGGAGTGGGCTTTCCTTCTGTAGTAGGAAGCTTGGTTGAATGAGATCATGGCTTCCAATAATTGGGAATTCACTTCAGTGGGGGATTAAAGAATGCATGTCTGTGATTGTTTCCCTCCTGAGTGTCAGGTGATGTCAAAGGTCTGTCCAGACCCCAGAAACATCAGCACCATATAGGACCATGCTA